GCACGTGGGTGGGCCTGGGGGGGGACACACAGGGGATATGGAGGTCCCTCACCCCATTCCCACTCTCCGCAGCCCCTCGTGCTGTCCCTTGTCCCGACGGACGGTCCGAGTGTCCCGATGATGCCACCTGCTGCATGACGACGAATGGCACCTGGGGGTGCTGCCCCATGCCCCAGGTACGGGGGGGCAGGGGGGGATGACATGGGGACATTTGCGGGGGACATCATGAAGCCACGGCTGTGACGAGTGGGTCTGGTGCCCGCAGGCCTCATGTTGTGCCGACAAGGTGCACTGCTGTCCCCACACCACCATCTGTGACCTGGCCCACGGGCGCTGCCTGTCACCCACTGGTGACGGTGACATCCCCCTGGGCACCGCCTTCCCCGCCTGGAAGCGTCAGCCTCCAGCACCAGGTAAGGGGTGTCCCCCTCGGGGTGGTAGGGTGCCCTTGCTGTCCCCACAGAGGGGACACAGAAGTGGGGAGGGGGCACGGTGACACTGTGTGTGTGTGTCCTCTGCAGTCGCTTTGCACGAGGTGCTGTGCCCCGACGGCCACTCGGCATGTCCCGACGGTGCTACCTGCTGCCAGCTGTCCTCGGCGCAGTATGGCTGCTGTCCCCTGCAAAACGTGAGTGCTGGCCCCATGCCGGGCACCCTGTGCTGGGCACCGTCCACCGGGCACCCTGTACCAAGCACCCTACACCAGCCACCCCCTGCTGGGCACCCCATGCTAGGCAGCCTGTCCCAAACGTCCTATGCCAGACACCCCGTGCCCACCAACCCACAGCAGGCACCCCATACCAAGGACTCCATGCCGGGCACCCGGCACTGAGCACCCCATGCCCAGCACCCTGTATCAGGCGCTGTGTCCCAAGCACCCCATGCCAGCTACCCCATACTGGCCACCCCACGGCAGCTGCCCTGTACTGGCAGCCCATACTGAGCGCCCCACACCAGGCACCCTGTCCTGAGCATCCCATGTTGGGCACCCTGCGCTGAGCACCACATGCCAGGCACCCAGTACCGTACACCCCATGCCAGGTGCCCCGTACAAGCAGCCCATACTGAGCACCCTGCACCAGGCACCCCATGCTGAGTACCCTGTCCCAGGCACCCTGTCCCAGTCACCCCCCACACTGGCAGCCCACCCTGTCCTTGTCACCGCTGGGACCCCCTGGGTGGGCAGGGCGGGCAGGGGTCTGGCAGACACCGACGGTGGGCTCTCCCCTGCGCAGGCGGTGTGCTGCAGTGATGGGCAGCACTGCTGCCCGCAAGGCACTGTCTGCGACCTGGAGCGCTCCACGTGCACGTCAGAACGGTCCCTGGCATCCCTCCCCAAAGGTGAGGAC